AGCAAGGTTTCAAAGACTGAACTAGAAATGAGAATCATAGAAGCAAAGAATCCTTTAGGTTGGAAGAGACCTCTAAGATCATCAAGTCCAACCATTAAACCAACACTACTACGTTCTCTGCTAATACAGATCAGAATCTGTCAGGGCTGGAAGGGACCACAAGGATCCCCCAGTTCCAACCCCTCTGCCATGAGCAGGGACACCTCCCACTAGATCAGGCTGCCCAGAGCCTCATCCAGCCTGGCCTTCAAGACCCCCAGGGATGGGGCCTCAACCACCTCCCTGGGCAACCCATTCCAGGGTCTCACCACTCTCATGGGGAAGAACTTCTTCCTTACATCCAGTCTGCATCCACCCACTTCCAGCTTTGCCCCATTCCCCCTAGTCCTATCATTACCCAATATCCTAAAAAGCCCCTCCCCAGCTTTCTTGTAGGCACCCTTAAATGAGCTGTAACTCTTTCACTAGCCAGCAACCAGGAGCAGAAATTGGCAGCACTGATGGAAATAAGGCACGTATTTCCACAGCAGAGTATTTCTGCTGGAGGATTTGCCTGTTGTAGCACAGGAACTGCCTGTCCTGGCAGGGGTGTCTTGTGTTTCTAAGCCACTGACTGGAGAGTCCTGCACGTAGGGAGTTAAGTATTAGTGTTCCAGTTTGGTCTGGTGTGATGATGATGATCTTGTAAAACTGGTGTCCCCTTAACTGCCTCTGCATCACCAATAGCACTTGAACTGCTGTGGTCCTACAGCGGGCTGCTGAAAGCAGCGCTCTTCCTGGACTCACAATGGATTTAATTCTTGTGACATGTTTCCATCATTTCAGGAGGTGTACAGGTACATTCTTATCTTTGTCCTCAGGGAAAAAAATTAGTAGATGATTTATAGACTGCACGATACACCCAAGACCCTCTGGTCTTTCCTCCCACATCCTCAAAGTATGTTTCTAAATTTAACTGTATCTGTATTATGTCCAGGTCTCTTTGAAGGCGTCCATATTCTTTCCTCACGGTCATTTATAAAAGTATCTTTACTTGCAAACTGATGTGATTATGAGAAGAAATGAATTGTGACTGCCTGGTATAATAAGGTGGGTCAGAAGGTCATGTGTGGATAGCTCAGATTCCAGAAGAACATGTTTTGCTAAATGTGGCCAGGGCAGGGTTAATGTCCCTACGCAGCTGCAGCTGGGTGAGGCTGCAGCTGGGCTGGGCCACAGCCGGTTAAAGCACCAAACCAGCCAATGGGGCATTTGATACCCTCCTGACCTCCTGCCCTCCAAGGGAGGGAAGGGGCTGGCCCAAGGGGCAGGGCTGGTTTTTGGCAGGTAGCTCATTAGTCTGTGGCTGGAGCAGGGAAAGCTGCATCCTCAGGTAAGGGGTTTCTTACCACTTCCTTTAGAATTTGTTTCCCTGGTATAATCGCTGTTATGGTTGTCTCTCCTCCACTTGTGTTGTTCTAGGAAACTGTCCTGATCTCAACCCATGGGCTTTCTGTTTTCTTGTTCTCCCGATTCTCTTCCCCTTACATAAGGCAGGGGACAGGGGGGGAAGCAGTGACCAGTGTCTGCTGGTGTGCTGCTTTAGTGGGAGCTGCAAATGCAACATCAGAACCTCTCAAGGAGTGATGAGGTTGATCAGTGGGGTATCTAGGAGGTAGCACATCATAGTTTTCCAAGTAGAATCAGATTTAATCACTGCAGCGTATACTTGCAGGCACAACTTAAAAGATATGCATTTGCCTTCAGAATGTAGTGTAAATATCAAAATTGAGACAATATATTTTAGACTGTATTTAATGGGTTTGGGCATGGAAGTTGACATTTGTAATGGGAAGATGTTATGCAAAAATGTACTTCAGGAAACAGGCAACACTGGCATTTTTGATAGATTTTAAAAAAAAAAAAAAAAGATGGGTGCCATGTTTTAAAATACACCATTTTTAGGATGTAAAGCACAATGTTAGAAGCAAGAAAATACTTGCCTTTCTGGGAACAGAAAGGACAGTGTACTACCAGTTGACTTGTTACAGTGAGCAAAGTGTGCTAGGCAGATGAATGAAGGGCAGCCTTGCTGGATGTTGGCAACAGGGATTTTGGCTGGCAGGGAGAAAAGTGCATGAATGATACCAGTTTTGCAGTATCGAGGTGGAAGAAGATGAAATGGAGGGGGATATCTGAAATTTTGTTTATGGGAAGTTGCTGTCTTTCACAAAATTATTGGTATCACTTGACTGAAATAAAAAAAGACAATGTCACATCTGTCCTCTCAAGTGAAAAGAGTTAGAGTCTGCACATATATCAGCAATTTGTTGATGCTGGTCAGGTAAACGGGGAGGATGGAGCATGTTCTAAGGGTCAGGACCATGACTTCTATAGCCACAGGGACAGATGTTTTCTAGAGAGATGTGTGAGAGTGGAGAGCTCTCCCTGTGCTCCATGTGGGTGTTACACTCCCAACTGCTGTGGCACAGCAGGACCAGGCCATGGGCTTTGATGGTTTCCCGGGCAGTGTACTTGTACTGCCAGGGTGAATGGTTGTCAGCAGGTCTGTAGGAACTGCCTGTGCTGTTCCTGTGCCAAGGTCTCTGCTAACAGAGAGCAAAGCCACAGCGACGTGGGTCGGGGGCTGTGTGGCTGCTCTGCCCGGGTGGGCTCGCAGCCCCCCGCTGCCCCCAGCCTGAAAGGTGGGGCAGGGCTGAAGGTCTGGGCTGAACAGCTCGGTGGCTGGGCTGGCCGTGAGCAACAATTCATGGCAAAAATGTTTTGGTAAGGATTTATCGATGTTCTCCCTGGAGCCATGTTATCGTCACCCCCACACAGAGAGCCACTGAGGGCTCCTTGTCAACATCCCTGCTGAAGAAGTTTGCTTGTGGGGATGTTGGCCAAGGCTTCCCTACCGAGGCACGGCACAGATCTTGTAGGGCTCTGGGGCCATTGTGATTCCCAACTGGACAGACTGGATGCTGAGTGTGATGCCCGGGGGTGCCTGGAAGGTGAATTTCTGGAGCAGAGCCGTGAAGAAGAGGAAGAGCTCAGAGCGGGCCAGCACCTCGCCCAGGCAGGCACGCTTCCCTGTGGAGACAGCCACCAATGGCACCCTCAGCCCAAGCTGGCTGACCAGATGCTTTCCCTGCCACAAATGCCACTGCTTTCCCTGAGGACCATGGGTTGCCCAGCCACTGCTGTCTCTTAGGACCAGAGACAAGAAAGGGCTCAGAGCTTGGCTGAGGTGGTTTGGGGTGGCCACCTGAGCACTGCTTGAGACAATCTTGCAGTGTGCACCCAACATGTGCCCTTGCCATTGCTCTTTTCCTCTGTGTCTCCACTCTGCCACTGGAACCCCCACCCCAGTACCCCAGCACAGAAGCCCCCAAATCCAGCAAAGCTTACCTATGGA